TATAAACCTGTGGGGAAGTCGACATGAAAAGTTATTCATATATATATGAAGTTTTATGGGAAAATATAATGATCATATGATAAAGAGTTCAGAACCGTAATAAATATTTATTCATCACAGGTTTTGGATACTTACCACATACTGGACATTATACTAGCTGCTAGGTACATAGTGGTGAACATAGGCACAGCACCTCCCCTTCTGGGACTTACAAGAATGCAAAGTACTTACAGTGGTAAGCTACTGTATTGGGCTCTACGAGCATAAAGATGACAAATTGTGGCTGTTGCCATCCGGAAATCCATGATCGAAAAGATGAGCTAGATAAATGAATAACAAATCTAAAGTAAAAGCAAGTTTTTCTGCCTAAAAGTTATTCCTTTACTTTATATGAGTCTTTACATTGATGTTAAAGGTGTATTTGAAGATTTTGAATATTCTTAAATAATTATAAAATGTGAAAAAAGTAGTATTTCTAAGTTAATATATTATTTTCCGTATCTGTAATCTTTCAGTTTTATCTGTAAATATTTCTGTGTGTATCACTAAAAGATAAGAATTCTTTTTTTAATTTAAAATTTTATTTTATTTTAATTTCAGCACAGTTAACATACAGTGTTATATTAGTTTCAGGTGTGTAAGATAGTGATTCAACAATCCCATACAAAAAAAAAAAGATAAGAATTAAAAAAAAAACAAAAACAAAAAAGATAAGAATTCTTTAGAAAATGAGCATAGTATCACCTAAAGAAAAAATAGCAATTTCTTTAATATGATAAAAGATCTAGTCAAATATTCAAATTTCCAATCGTCTCAAAAAATTATTTTAAAAAATAACTAAAAATATTATTTTGGTTTGTTTGAATCAGGATTCAAATAAAGTCCACACATTGAGATTTGTTTGTTGTCTCTTTTAAACTACTGCTTTCACCTTCTTCTCTCCCTGTCTCTGTTTCTGTCTTTCTCTTCTTGCAATTATTTATTTTAAAAAAGGGGTAGGGGGAGGGAGAGGCTTTGTTCTATAGTTTCCCACAGTCTGGATTTTGTTGATTGTATTCTCATGCTGGTGTTTTTCCATGGAATTGTGCTTCACTGTATTTCCAGTAAATTGATATTTGGATTTAGAGGCTTGGTTAGATTCAGGGACACTTTATTTGTTAAGATTACCTAATGGGTCAGGTGATATGGCCTCCCATTAGGAGACATGTAATGTCTGGTTTTCTCTCTTTGTGATGTTAGCGGCTATTGAAAATCAATGTAATCTATTAGGGATTGCAAAATGGTGATATCCTAATTCTAACATTCCTTTTTCATTTATTCTTTTCTATAATAAGAAACTTCTTTCATCTCTTCTATGATATCACTCTATGGTACAATTTATATAGGAAAGCCAAGATAAATTTTTAACAGTTTTCAAAATAATGAGTTGGTTTGTTAGCATGATCCTCCAATGGTGACCAATTAATTTTTAGAGTGACATTGTGAACTCATGGATTTTAACATATTTGATACAGTTAATCTGTTATAGTTATTACTCTTACTGATGCTCAAATTGTCCTAAAAAGCAAGGGATCTCTTTTAAGTTGACTCCTGAGTCCTTTTGACACCATCCTAGTTGTCTGTGGGTAGCTTTTAGTAGAAAATGATACTTTAAGAGACCACAATCTAGGTGCTAAGGATACTCATTGCTTCTGGCTGTTCATTTTTTTCTAGGACTTTTGAGTGGACAGAGCTAGAAAATGTAAATTTATAAATTTTAAAATATTAAAAGATAAAAATATATGTTCTTGTTGATACATCCGATTCAAATTCAGGACTACATGGTTTTTACTTAACTTCTATCTTAAGACTGTATTTCCTCTTACCCCTGCTGAGAATGCCAGTTCTCAATGACATTGAGAATGACAGAACAAGTTTACATAATCACTCATTTGTTTATCTCACAATGGACAACTGTCTCAGAGTGATAGCACCAACACTACCACCAATAGATAACTAAAAAGCAGTTTAGGGCGCCTGGGTGGCTCAGTCGTTGGGCGTCTGCCTTCGGCTCAGGTCATGATCCCAGGGTCCTGGGATCGAGTCCCACATCGGGCTCCCTGCTC